CAACAGTGACAACTAGCAAAGGGTGGTTTCCTCTCAGTTGCAGTGGACATGGCTGAGATTATGTGAAAGACTCGGAGGGCTGTGGGTCCCTCCAGAATTCTCAGAGTTCTGTAAGCCTTCCTCCCAGCCTTCCAGTCTTCTGAGAGAAACTTCTTTCCTCTGCTTGGAAAAGTCTCAGTTATCTCCCCCCGCCACCCCCACCCCCACCCCCACACACCCTCTTCCTGTCTCTGCCTGCCACCCCCTCCCACTCTGTCTCCTTGTCCCCAACATTCTCTACTATTGTTTCAGGTCACTGGCGAAGAGGACATTTTTAACTCAGTGGGTAAAGCATGCATTACTCAACAAATGATGTTGGGACACTTGAGTAACCTTTCAGTGGGTGATCCAACATCATCTCTCATGCCAAAATAAATTTTCCAGTAGATTAAAAATTTTAAAGTGCTACCATTTGCTGTCTGTGCATATTTTTATAATTTTATGGTGGATAGTGATTTCCATAGTCCAGAAATGTCAGATGCATAATGAAAAAAATTGATCAACTAAATACTGTTAGAGTATGAAAGTGTCAGAATAAAAATGATGTTTTTTTGTGTCAACCCTGACAAGAGCTAAATAAGCAAACCTGATAGGCTTTAAAGGAACAGTTCTCATGCTTGATTGCCTGATAGTAACTGTCACAAAAACAACAACAACAAAAACCATGCACACACAATTCTGCAACTGTCTGTTCCACCATGGACTAGTGTCACCTTGTTTTTAATTTTTGTGGCCAAGGATAATTGTTTCAAAGTATCTGATATTATCCTCCTCATATTTTGCCTTTATGAACTTCCCCTACAAAGTGCCTCCCAATAAGCCATACTGAAACTGCCTCAGACTGGATGTGCCGAGTGTCAGATGGTAGCTCAGACCCTGGGAAACAGATTTGGGATCCCAGCAGTTGGAAGAAGATGCAAGATGCCATTGGGAAAGGAGACATTCTTTATTCAGAGGTGGCATCAGTCCCTGCCCCCAGCCTCCAACTTCAGGCCCATTGTGTCCCAGCCAGTTCCATTTAGCTCTCTCTGTGAGTGTGTGTGTGTGTGTGTGTGTGTGTGTGTGTGAGAGAGAGAGAGAGAGAGAGAGAGAGAGAGAGAGAGAAGGCCAGACAAGTCATAGTGCCAAAAGGTTACATCAGTGGGTGCATACTCATAGGCAAGTGTTTATGACCTTGAGTTCATATGCTGAATTAGGGTATTCATGACCTTGGCTACACACTAAAATCATAACCCACGAGAAACCTCAGCAAGGGAGCGTAACTATAGCCATTTTGGACCTGCCCTATGCCAAGCCATGCTGCAGTGTCCCCCTCCAATCATCTGTAGAATCAGACTACGTTCTCAAAGGACCCAGTCCCGCCTGAGCACCTGGAGAACACTTGTGCCGGGGCCTGAGCTGGGCCTGGGGACTCCACAACGCTCCTTCTTCCCGCGCCACTGCCAGACTTCCTCAGTGTTGTCTGCCCTTGCCCTGGAGCCCCTCAGCCTCAGCTGCCCTTGCCCACAACCCCCTGGTGTGCTCACTCGCCCGAGGGGCCGAGGCGGCAGTGCCTTACTGCTTGGTGTCTTCTGCCTCCTCTGAGGAATCTGGTCCCATCTCGGGTCCCAGAGCCCCAAATCTCTCCTCTGGTGTTGCATGAGTTTCTTTGTTCAAGTTGTGATCTTTCCTAATTAAATGTTGGGGAAATGGGGTCAGCGTGCGGGTTTGTCTTTGGGTGGGGTGGGTAGACCCATTGGGGTCTGGGTGAGCTGGACTCCCGTGATGGGAGGAAAGGGCAACTCTTCACAGAGTTTCTGAGGATTCGAGGGGGTCCAAGGCCACAGCCCGTCTGTTGGCCAATTTCCGTGGTTCCAGCATCAAGATGTCTTCAGAGTCTGCTCTTTTTTCCTCGCCTCCACGGTCCCCACCCAGATGGAAGGTACCCAGATGGAAGGTGCCCAGATGCCAGTCTCCCTGCTTCCATCCCGGCCCCCCTTCGGCTCATCCTTAGTGTGGGAGGCAGAGGGATGCTGTTAAGATGTAAGGCAAGTTCCCACCGTGTTTAAAACCCTCCAGTGGATTCAGCCGCACCCAGACTCCTTAAGGCCTGGCAGCTCCTTACTGTTGGAGCTGTGACTCCCATCCAGGTGCACCTACCTACATGTCTTAGCCCCCACACCTGTTAAGGGTGATGCAGGTGGGGAGAAGGAAGGATGCAGTGTTCAATGGGGTGGCCAGGAAAGCCTCACTGAGGATGACATTTTGGTGAGCCAGGTAGAATGCTGGGGAAGCCAGCTACAAACAGGCAAAGGCCCCCAGGCAGGCGTGGGTCTGTCTGGTGTGCTTTGTGGAGGGTGAGAGGCCCAGGTGGCTGGATGGGAGCGAGCCAGAAGGGGAGTGGGAGTGGAGGAGGCCAGAGAAGACACAGGCCAGATCATATTGGACTTGCAGGCCACTGTAAGGGACCTGTGCTGTTTTCCCTCCTTTGATGCAGGTGCCAGGCGTCAAGCCCAGGGCCTCGTGCATGCTGGGCAAGTGTTCTACCACTGGGCTACAAGAGTGTGAGAGGGAAGCCCACTGGAGGGTTTGGAACAGAGGAGCATTGGGTCCTGACTTAGGAATACAAGCCACAGAGTGACGCAGGTAGTCCGTCCATAGCGCCAACCACATTGTGGTGGTGGTTGAAAGTGACCACGACACTCGGAGCGACCAAGAGATCTTTATTGCAGCAGTGCAAAAGAGAAGAGAGAGAGAGAGAGAGATGCAAGAGAAGAAAGAGAGCAAGGGGGGGGGCCTGGCAGGAGGGAGTTTTTATAGCCCAAATCTAATGGGGTCTTTGGGTCTGCAAGCTGCCTTGTTGGCGTACAGTGATTGGATCGTATAGTAGTGTCATCTTCTGCCTTCAGGCAGACGGGGCAGGGGTCAGATGTGGGTTTCCACTGCACCAGACGGGTGGGGTTGAGTGTTCAGCCTTGACGCAAACAGGTGATAAAGGACCAGACCAGACAGAGTGGGGTTTGAGTGCCCTGGCTATCCTGCAGCTAATGTTTGTTCAACCTGCCCTGCAGACAACTTAGTTCAGCCTGCCCTGCACCTAACAGTGGTAACTGTCAGCACCTGCTAAAATTCACAGGACAGTGTGTGGGAAATGGGTACATTTTATAGTCCATACATAAGTGGTACCTCAGTCAACCAGAGCTAGCCAAAGACGACTCAACCACAGTAAGGCGCAAAGGGCTGGGGGTGTGGCTCAGTGGCAGGGTGCTGGCCTACCATGTGCACACCCTGGTTCCATCCCCAGGACCACAGAGAGAAAACGCTACCTGGGATACAAAGATGTGGGGAAATGCAACCTACGTTGGGGAGGGAAATCAATCACTGGAAGCCAGAGTGGAAAAGAAGAGGCACAACTGCCTCTATTCTCAGAAGACGTGATTATCTACCGGGAGAGTCGGATGGCGTGTGCAAAAGGGCTGTCAGAGTGACTCTAGCACCATACCTCACCAGGAGCTAACTCCACCCCCAAACCCTTGAGCCAATTCCTCACAAGGTGGGGAAGCCACAAAATTCCTACTCAAATGTTTCTGGGCGGCTGTTCTTCTCATGCAAACACAAAGGCAGAGTGTTTGTGCAGGGTGGAAGATGGTGGTGGTGTTTTCTTTGGTGGTGGGTTAGTGGCACGTAGGATGTGAGCAGCCACCATTCTGATGAGTGGGTTCATATTCTGGAGAGCAGTTTTGTACCGTAAATCGAGAGCCTTAAACGATAAACTGAAGCCAGGTGTGGTGGTGCAGGCCTGTAATCACAGCGGCTCGGGAAGCTGAGGCAGGAGGATCTTGAGCTCAAAGCCAGCCTCAGCAACAGTGAGGTGCTAAGCAACTCAGTGAGACCCTGTGTCTAAATAAAATACAAAATAGGGCTGGAGGCTGGGGTTATAGCTCAGTGGTAGAGTGTTTGCCTAGCATGTAAGAGGCACTGGTTTGATCCTCAGCACCATATAAAAATAAACAAATAAAATAAAGAAAGATATTATGTCTATATACAGCTAAAATTTTTTTTAAAAAATGTGGGGATGTGGATCAGTGGTTGAGTGCCCCTGAGTTCAATTCCTGGTATGCAAAATAAAATAAACTGAGCTGGGTGTGGTGGTGCATACCTGTAATCTCAGAGGTTTGGGAGGCTGAGGTAGGAGGATGGCAGGTTAAAACCAGCCTCAGCAACTTAGTGAGGCCCAGTTTCAAAATTTAAGAAAAGGGAGGGGGTGGCTGGGGATGTAGCTCAGTGGTTAAGCATATCTGGCTTCAATCCCTGGTACCAAAATAAATTGAAAACTAAGTATTTAACTCAGTCAGTCTACCTCTTGGAACCTATAACAGCTGAGACTCCAACCCTCCCCCCCCACACACACACACATCTACAGCCCTGTGGAGAGAAAGCAAGCCTTTGTCCTTAGAAGGAGGAAGGCCCTTAGGTCCCTGTCCTTTTCCTGGAGCCTCCGAGCCATATGCTTGTGGGGGGCAATAGGGGGTGGGGGCCTTCTAGGTGGGCCCCTCCCCAAACCTCACTCCCTGCATACACACAGCTCTAGTTCCTCCACCAGGTGTGACTTGTGGAAGCACCAGGGGACTGGCTGGTTCCAGCCTGGGTCCACAGTTCTGAGCCCAAGATCAGGTGTTTCCAGCCAAGATGCCCTCAAACACACCTGAACCCACCTCCTTTAGTGCCTTGATTGGGGCCCTGCGTGGAAACGGATTGTCAGAACCCAGCTCCACCCTCCATCCCAGCAGCAGCTGCAATAGCAATACCCCCTTCCTCTTACCTTTGTGCCCATGTGTTGGGATAGCCCCAACACCTATTTATTAAATTTGATTTCACCTAGATCTCCAACTGTGTTAATAGAAGACCCAAATCCTAGGACCTCCCCTCTAACCCACAGACATAGATGAGAAAATCTTGAGGTAGCACAGCTGAAACTAAAGTCAGACAAAGTAGCTTGGTTTTATTTCTTTCATAACCAGCATTTAAGCATCCACTACTTTAGCAACAGGGAAACAGACAGATCAAGAGATATCAAGAGACAAAAAAAAAATTCAGACTTTGATCATAAAGTGGCCGTTACCCAAAATATCATTTCCCTATGTCTTGCCAAGTGCAGGAGAAAAGATTAGGACTAAGGCTTCTTTCCTTTTCCTCGTTTTAGCAGAGCTGGGACCCCAATGCGCCGAATATTTCTCATCACCAAAGAAAGCTGGTCCAGGAAGGTGTTAACAGAAGTTCGGAAGAGAACAGGGTCTTCAGTTGTCCATCTACTGTAAGTGAGGGGAAAAAAACCCAAAAACATCAGATTATAGCTGAGAACTCTATGTAGGTCCAGGGTTCCATGCATTCTGCTTCCACTTAATCAGCCAAAATCTCCATTACAACAAGCTATAGTGGAGATAACCTCCCAGCACCTGCTGCCTCCACCCATTCCAGATCCTTCCAGAACTGACACAGCCAGATCACTGCCATTCACTGTGAACTCCTTGTGAATGATCTCCTGTTGGCGCGCATCTGGGACCAGGGACCTCTGAGCCATCTCTGCCTCCAGTGGTGATCGGAAAGGCACAGTTAAAGAGCTGTAGGAGATTCATTAAGGCACCATCCACTAATGAGTTTGTTTGGGTCTCAGGGCTCTTCACTACTAATAGGCCATCCATCACCCTATGCCTTGGAAGGCAACATCCTGCCAACCCAGGACTACCACCAGTGCTTTGGACCTTCTTCCACACCCTGCAGCCTTTTCAGACATAGATTACTGTCTGCCATGATGCCCACTGCCATTGTCCCCTGTATATAACCACTGTATTCATTCCCCACACTCACCAACCTCCTTGGGCTGTGTCCATAAAATTCTTTATGGGCTTATCCTCCCCCATCCTCATTTCTGCTGCCCTGCCCAGGGTACTCCTTGGAAAGGATACAACTCAAGGAGTCGGCTTCCAGATACTACACCCGAGGTTGCTGCATCTCCACTGGGTCCTGGGGTACGCAGGGCCTGCTCACTTTGGGAAGCAGCGACTGCTTCTTCACCAACGTCTACTTCGGCCACCACTCCTTCTCTAACCACACTACCTTCGTCCGGGTTGCTTGGAGTACTCTGAACTTCAAGACCACTAGGGCCACTCGGATGACTAAAGTCGCTATGGCTACCCTCCTCTATGGAACCACCTGAGATACCCTGAAAACCAGGAGCTGGAGATCCATACTGGCCGCCCTGGCCATCTTCATGCCCCTCTGCACCACCAGTACCTCCTGCACTGCCACCTGGGGCCTCCATGGCTACAGCAGCTTCGCCCTCACCAACCTCAAACACCACCAACCGCCTCCCTCGCGCTGCGGCCAAGTAATAAAGAACCCTACGAAACTCCACCCCCTTCCCCCACAATGCAACTGGACACACCTATTACGCCTGCGCAAAGAGGCCCATGTGCAGGTGGGCTCTCCCCTAGCTGGTGCTGCAGCACACCCCTCTCCAAGCCTCTTGTTTTCCATGCCAACCACCACGTTCACGGAGCACCTCCCCTTAGCCCATGGGACACCCGAGTATGCTTCCATAAATGGATCCCTACAGGGGCGCCAACACTGATAAATAGGCATTCTCTCTGTTACTTTTTTTTAACTGAAATGAAATTCATATAGTATAAATATAAACATGTTTAAAAGTGTACGATTCACCAGCATCTAGCCGGTTCGCAGTATTATGCAACCATTGCTAGTATCTGGCTCCAAATATTTTCAAGGAGACCCCATAGTCTTTAACAGTCATTCCCCACTGCCCCATCCCTAGCCCCTGGCATCCATTACTCAGCTCTCTTTCTCTCTGGATAGTTCATATATGTGTAATTATACAACATGTGACCTTATGTGTCTGACTTCTTCCACAGAGCGTAATGTGTTCAACGTTCTCCCACATATGTGGTATATATCAGATCCTCATCCCTTTCCACTGCTCAGTAATAATGAATTGTATTAATGTACCATATTTGATGTATCCATTCCTCTGCTAATGAACAATTGGGTGGTTTCCAATTTGGGGCTACTGAGAATGCTGCTGCTATGGAGATTTGGGTACAACTCCCCCCATCCCCCAAACCTGCTTTCAATTCCCTCTAGAGAATCTGGACCAGTGGGGTTGCTGTCTTATGCAAATGTTTCATGTTTTAAGGAGTTTTCCACAGCAGCTGCCCTATCGTACATGCCCAATAACACTGTAAGAGAGTTCCCGTTTCCTCACGGCATCGCTAATGCTTGTTATTTTCCCTTTAAATATTAGTATTGCAGCCATTCCAATATGTGTGAAGTGATAACTCATTGTGGTTAGATTTTAATTTTCCTAATGACTGACGATGGTGAACTTCTTGTCACAAGCTCACAGGGCTGTCTTGTAGGTCTTCTTTTGAGAAATGTCTCTTTGAGCCCTTTACCCATTCCTTGAATAGGTCGTCTGCCTCTTTGTTGTTGAGCCATAAGTGTTCCTTATCCATTCAGGATAGGAGAGCATTATCAGGTGCATCATTTGCGAATATTTTCTCCCAGCCTATAGGTTGTGTTTTTGCTTTCCTGACTGTGGGTTTGATGCATAAGTTTTTAGTTGTAACAAAGACAAGTCTCTCTACTTTTAAACAAAATTACTTTTGAGTTGTAGGTGGACACAATATCTTTATTTCATTTTTATGTGGTGCTGAGGATCGAACCCAGTGCCTCACATGTGCTAGGCGAGCGCACTAGCACTGAGCCACAACCCCAGCCCCTCTTTCTACTTTTCTTCATTCGTTGCTTATTGACACAGTCTGGCTGGGCACAAATAACCGGAAGGTCACCAGCCACTTGTAGATTCAAGCAGGAACGAACTTAATTTAAGAACCCACACAAACGCCACTGACGCGACCCTCTAGGAACTCTGCGAGAGCTCAACCAGAACTCAACGGGAACTCCATGAGAACTCAACGGGAACTCAACCATCCTAATGGCTCGCTGGCGCCACCTCTCAACCACTCCCCCTGGCAAAACGCCAGGCGCCATCCCAACTCGGCTGTGGCTCTCAACAGCTTATGCATTTGATGTCATATCTAAGAATCAATTATCAACTCCAAGGCCACGAAGGAGTATGGTCTTAGTACTAACATTTGAGTCATTGCTCCATTTTGAGTTAATTTTTGTGCATGGTGGTGCATGGTGTGATGTATGGGTCCGACATTGTTCTTCTGCATGAGGATAACCAGTTGTCTCTGTACCATCTGTTGAGGGTGCTATCGACCCTCCATCCCCACTGAATGGCATTAGTTAATAACAGTATATTAAGAGAGCAGGATTGAACAGTGAGAGAGAAAAAAACCAAGCTGGGATGCAGGGCAAGGCAGCAGACAAGGGCTATCTTAAATGCTGGGGGAAGCTGCCTACAAGTGACCCAAGGTCATAAGGAACTTTGTGCCAGTGAGAAGAGGAGGCATTTGGGTCAGATTATGGCAAAGGGCTGAGTGTGGATCTCGATTTTAAAATGATAGTTGGTACTGAAATACAGTTAGACAGGAGGACCTAGCTCTGGTGTTCGATAGCACAGTAGGGTAAGTACAGTCGACAATTATAGACTATATCATATTTCAAGTAATCAGGAGGGAAGAATCTGAAAGTTCCCAGCACGTACAAATACGTATTTGAGGAGATAGAAGTGCTGCCTACTATGATTTGCTCACTACACATTGTATACATGCATCGAATTATTACACTGTGCCCCATAAATATAAACAAATATCATGTGTCGATTGAACCAAAAAGAAAAGGAACCAGGTGCAGTGGCACACACCTGTAACCCCAGTGACCCAATGGCTAAGGCAGGAGGATCCATGTTCATAGCCAGCCTCAGCAACTTCATGAGACCCTGTCTCAAAATAAAATATAAAAAGGGCTGGGGATGTGGCCCAGTGGGTAAGCACCTCTAGGTTCAATCCCTGGTACCAAAATAAATAATAAATAAATCTATAAGTAAATAGAAATAAAAGAAAAAGAGACATAGTTCTCAAAATTCTCCTTGTTGACCTTAATATCTGCAGTGTCTCTTGAAGTCAGTCTCTCAAAATGAATTCCAGAAGGAGTATCTCTTTTATTTTTTTTGTCTGTTTGTTTTTGTTTTGTTTTGTTGGTATAAGGAATTGAACCCAGGGGTGCTTTATCACTGAACTACATCCCCAGATCTTTAATTTTTTTTTTTTTAAACCTTGCAGCAGGGTAAGATCTCGCTAAGTTGTCGAGGCTGGCTTCCAACTTGTGATCCTGCCTCAGCACCCAGGTTGCTGGGATTGCAGGCATGCTTCACTGCACCCAGCTTTTTTGATGTTCTTGTAAATGTAACTGTTTTCTTAATTTCACTTTTAGAGTTTTCATTACTGATGTATGGAAATACAATTTATCCTACAAGCTTGCTGAACTTTATATTACCTCTAATAGTTGTTAATTGTTTTGTGCACGAACGTGTGTGCGTGCGTGTGTGTGTGTGTGTGTGTGTGTGGTTTCCTTATGATGCTCTATGTACAATAGTATGCTATTTGTAATGAGATGGTTTTGCTTTATCCTTTCCAATGTGGATGCTCCATATTTTGCTTTCTTACTTAGTTGCCCTGGCTAGAACCTGCAGCAGTTGTCTGTTGAATAGAAGTGGGGAGAGTGGACATTCTTATCTTGTTCCTGGTGTGTGGTGGTGGTGGTGGTGGTGGTGGGGGAATGTTCATATTTTCACCATTAAGTGTACTGCTAGAAATCGATTAATAGAAAACAATAAAGAGACTCAGTGAAACCAAAGCTGGTTCTTTGAGATCAACTGAAATTCTACACTCAGGTACTGCAGAGAAAGAGAACCAATAGAATGAATCTACATTTATCCTATTTAGGATATTTATTAGGGGATTTATTGTGGGAATCAACTCACACAAATTCCCACAATCTCCCATCACATTTTCCTCCACCTTTTCCAAAAACACAAGTGTGCAAAACGTATGGTAAAGGTTATTGTAGTTTCTAAAGTCACACCATATGAATTCTGGCACTGGCACCATGTTTTTACAAGGATATCAATTTTTTTCTATGTAAAGGGAAAATTTCTACCGACCAATGATGACCACATACTTCATAGAATCCACTGTGGGGAGGACTATGCAAGAAGAGGGAGTAGATAAGAAATAAACAAGTGCATGTCATTTAAGAAGAGACAAAAATATACAAAAATGTGCCCACAATTAACTAAAACTTAAAAACCACAGTATGGTACATGTTAAAACAAATTCAAAACCAATCTTTTGGAAATGTAGGGTAGAGAGAAGGATTCTGACCAGGAAATTAATCACAGCTTTCCTTGAAGGTCTGGGCCTTAAATGATGGGTTCGATTATGATGGGGAGAAGTGAACAAAGTCCATGTCAACCAAATAAAACGTGTGGACTGAAGAACTGTAGTGGCAAAATACAAGGCTTTCTTTAGAGATGCGCTAGCAGCACGACACACTAAAGTGTCTTCAAAGCACTTGTAAAGGAGAAGCTCGGAGTACCCGGGAAGAGATCTAGTTTATCCTGTTGTTGTTGTTGTTGTTTAACATTCCCCTACACCACGAAAAGGCAAATATTCATCATGGATAATCCATGTGGGGCTATCACACACAGACACGCATGATGCTGGGGCACGGAACCCTGGTCCTCACACAATGCAGGCAAGTGCTCTGCCACTGAGCTTCACACACAGCTCTCATTATGTATTACCTGAAAAGCACATTATATTTTCAAAAAGAGGGAGCTAAATCTATCATCCCAGCAACGCGGTGTCCATAAACCCCTATTTTAATGATACTCAACTACAAATATTTAGAAAGCTGTCAGTTAAGGGAAATAGTTATCCAAAATGTACACGAAACAGTACTAAGCCATTCACATACTGCCTGAGTTAACCATTTCAACAAGCCAGTAGGGAGTACCATTTCCCCCCTAATTTTATAGAGAATGCATTTAGATCTAGATAAACTAATTGGCCATGGTCAACAGTAAATAATAAAACCCACTTCAAAACCCGAGCTGTGTGACTCCACATTCCCTTCTGAAGTGACGCTCGGCTCTGATATCTGGCAAAAGTAGGCACATGACATGTGAGGTCACTCAATGATGGATAAAAGCATCATACTTGTAATGATGATAAGGTTAGATGTGCAATATGCTGAGCTGCAAAGCCAATCCCTCTGGAAATGAACAATATGAATCTTCATCTTTTTCAAAAAAAAAATCTATTTTCTTAGTTGTCGAGGGACACAATACCTTTATTTTATCTATTTTTATGTGGTGCTGAGGATTGAACCCAGGGCCTCACACGTGCTA